TCAATACAAATATATATATATATATATATATAATATGCTTCTGTTGTAACATTTTCTACTCATTTGTTGATTTGTTAATTTCATATATTATGTAATTCCAATACTAAATTCAATAATAATTTATTAAAAATGTACGTATTTAATAGTTGAAATAATAATTTTACGGCTTGATATAATAAAATTTTCCAGTTCTCAAATGATGTGAGGCGTGGAAGGCTTTGGAGCTCGAAATTCGAAGTGTTCAAAACAACAACACAAGCACACTGTTTATCTGTTCGTCTTAATTATCGAAGCAGTTCGTGGAAGATCGTCCCATCCTCTACTATTTTCACAATTTCTGGACGAGACGTGTTGCGGAGAATCATTCGGCTGTTGAATTTCGTGACGACAACACGCGCTACGTCGCATTCGGTTTGTAACTTATTCTAACCTATCGGTGGCGTCCATTCTTGTACATTCTTTTACTTCCTCCTCTTATTTAGTAGTATCATTTAATTAATACGCGTGTTTAACGATTAATTGAGCATTAAGGCGACGAAATAGCGTAGCGCTTTGAAACTTTTCGCGACAATATTTCTTCAATCATTTACCACGGTTACCGGTGTTTTGTACGCTTTTTAAATAGAACTTGAAGTTGATTATTTTTTCATTATTCATTACACATTTGACGCATTTGTTCTGACCTTTGGCTCCTTTCTGTGCAGGTTATTATTCTCTAATTGCAAAGATAGCATAGAATGCATTATTAATGGACAATCTGATGAATTTTCACGGAAAGTTGGCAACATTCTATTCATTCTGGGAAACATGTGGTATACAATATATGTATCGTAATAGCTTCATGGTATATACTCTCAAATGGATATATATGGATGTATATGGATATAAATGGATATATATACTACATTAAATTTAAAGTTTTTATACTTTATTATACCATATTTTGCTACAGTATACTTACTTCTTCCCAACTTATTATAAATATTCGAACAATTAAACGATTCAAAGCAAGAATTCACACGTGTGTGATTTTTTAAAAATATATTTAGCTGAGAAATTTTGATTTGTGCAAACATTCGAATATTTATAATAAGCAACATGATATATTAACGTGCATACTTCTTATTTTAATAACGAACATTCAGAATTGCAATTTCTACAAATATTTCTGCAAATATTGAGAAATACTTTCTAATTTTCAACTAATATCTTTAATACATACTCAAGTTTCTTTCTTTCATTTTCAAATATTGAGAAATACTTTATAATTTTTAACTAATATCATTAATACATACTCAAGTTTCTTTCTTTCATTTTCAAATATTGAGAAATACTTTATAATTTTCAACTAATATCTTTAATACATACTCAAGTTTCTTTATAATCATTTTGTAGAAAAATAGCAGTATTTTCTAAATGAACGTACTCCTTGCTCTCCCCCCACTAATCAACTTTATTTTCAGAATATTTTTGTGACCGCGCGCAATGCGGTTGGTAGAGTCAGTGTTTGTTGCGCAATATTTTCATACTTGTCTGAGCGAATTGGCTCGTATTAAATTAAATTTAATTCGCGAAGTTAGAGTCAGTGAGTTATTTAAACGCGTGCGTTGATAATTCTTTATTTTTTTTTTTATTTTTTCAATATGTTTTTAATATTAGAGTCAGTGGTCAAGAGGATAAGGCCTCTCCAAGGAATCAAGATTGTAAGTAGTTTTATATGTTGTACTTTAATTTATACAATTTTTCAAATTTAACAACAAATTCATATAATGCTTGACGTTTTGTTACAGACACTTCACATTTGCATTACTTTTTCGGGGAAATCCAACGGTGACTCTAAAGCCAAGAATGTAAGAATCTTTCATTATCTGCAAACTTAAGATTCTGCTTTGCTTTTAAATACAAATTCTAATGTTTAATGTTTTGTTACAGATCTTTTACACTCTCCACTTCCCCTAATTTTCCAAGGATCTTATGATGTTTCAAAAGCTAAAAATGTAAGTACTTCAGCTTGAATTCCATTCTCTATAGTTTCTATTGAAGTCAAATATGAAATTATAATTGTGAAATAAAAACAAATTTCAAATTATTAGTCTCAATTTTTATTATTATTAAAATTTGAATTTTCACAAATAACAGCGTGTTTTTAGAAATAAAATGTTTTATGTTTTTTTTCAGGAAATTTTTCACGGCGTTCGCTTCTACCATGGGATTCTCAGTGATATCTACTCTCAAAGGTCTTCACGATAACTTTCCTTGTGCAGTGCAGCATAGTTGATAACGGTCTTCACATCTGTCGGGTGAGTCGCATGCATTTATGTTCCTCTGGTCACTCAATCATGTCGTAGGACG